CCATCCCCCCCAGTGTCAGAATGCCCACCGCAGTCCCTCTATAATAAGTCACTGATCGTTGCCATTACTAGTAAAAAGAAATTATAATTAAAATCCTAGTATATATACCGCCATTTGTAGATGCTATAACTTTCATGTAAACTATTTAATTCACACATATTGGGATTTTTTTTATCACATAGCAGAATGCATTTTGGCCTAAATTTATGATAAAATTTGATTTCTTAAATTTTTTTATTGGACATGTTTAATAGCAAAAGGTCAAACCTATATATATATATATATATATATATATATATATATATATATATATATAAATTTCGATATTTATTTATTTTTTTCAAAATTGTCAGGTTTTTTTTGTTTATAGCACAAAAAATAAAAAGCGCACAGGTGATCAAATACCACCGAAAGAAAGCTCTATTTGTGGGGGGAAAAAAGGATGTATATTTCATTTATGCACAACGTTGCATGACCACGCAAGTGTCAGTTAAAGTAACAGCGCCGTATCGCAAAAAATGGCCTGGTCAGGAAGGGGGGTAAATTCTCTGGAGGGCAAGTGGTTAACAGCTAGGGGCAGCGGGAGTGGGGAGCTGGTCCATTCATAACATGTTGCGCCCTGAATATGGCTGTAACATGTTATGAAATGTGAACTTATCCTATAAAAGGTTAGTTCAGCTTTATCAAAAAACTGCCTATACAAATAAGGGGCATATGTAGATAAAAACAAACTGTGCAGCTTTGATAACAGTTGAATAATGCCCTTGCTATAGGTGTAGGCCATTTATGTACCTCATGACGCCTTTAAAGCAGCAGTAAACTGCAGGGAGAAAAAAAAAAAAGTCCCCTGCAAGGTAATGTCATAATGTGCTAGTGTGCATCGCATACTCGTACCTTATGTAAAACTTACCTTTAAAATGAAGCCCTGCAGAAGCATGTTGTCTCCACTGCAGAGGCTTCCATCTTCACCTGGTCTTTCTTCTGGGTTCGCAAGCTCTGGCCCTCTGAATGGCCACGGCAGAGTACTCTGAAGGAACGGCACGGGTATACCTTTCCTTCAGAGTGCATGCGCCGGCTTTAAAGAAGAGAAAATATCTCCTAATGGTGTTTGTTTAGGAGCTATTCATTTTACCTACAGGTAAGCTTTATTCTAAGCTTACCTGTAGGTAGAAGTTAAAAAAAAAAAACTAGTTTAACACCATTTTATACCGGTCCTAAAACATGCATGGTTCTGATGGCACACATGAAACTTGCTTTGTACAGTTGCAAGAAAAAGTATGTGAACCCCTTGGGATTACGTGGAGTTTTGCATGAATTGGGCATAAAATGTGCTCTGAACGTCATCTAAGTCACAACAATAGAAGAACACAGTCTGCTGAACATAATACTACACAAACATTAGATGTTGCCATGGTTTAATTGCACATAACATGTAAACATTCACAGTGCAGGGAGGAAAAAGTATGTGAACCTTTGGACTTAATAACTGGTTGACCTCCTTTGGCAGCAATAACCTCAACCAAACGTTTCCTGTAGTTGCAGATCAGACCTGCACAACGATCTGGAGTAATTTTGGACCACTCCTCTTCACAAAACAGTTTCAGTGTAGCAATATTCTTGGGATGTCTGGTGTGAATCGCTCTCTTAAGGTCATGCCACAGCATTTCAATCGGGTTGAGGTCAGGACTCTGACTGGGCCACTCCAGAAGGCGTATTCTGTGCTGTTGCAGCCATTGTTTTGTTGAATTACTTGTATGCTTTGGGTCATTGTCCTGTTGCATCACCCATCCTCTGCGGAGCTTCAGTTGGCGGACAGATGGTCGTACGTTTTCCTGCAAAATGTCTTGATAAACTCTGGAATTCATTTTCCCATCAATGACAACAATCCGTCCAGGCCCTGAGGCAGCAAAGCAGCCCCAAACCATGATGCTCCCTCCGCCATTTTTTACAGTGGGGATGAGGTTTTGATGTTGGTGCGCTGTGCCTTTTTTTTCTCCACACATAGTGTTGTGTGTTCTTCCCAAACAACTCAATCTTAGTTTCATCTGTCCACAGTATATTTTGGCAGTAGTGCTGTGGAACATCCAGGTGCTCTTTTGCAAACTTCAAACGTGCTGCAATATTCTTTTTGGACAGCAATGGCTTCCTCCGTGGTGTCCTCCCATGTACTCCATTCTTGTTTAATGTTTTCCTTATTGTAGATGTGTCAACAAAAATGTTAGCATGTGCCAGAGATTTCTGTAGGTCTTTAGCTGACACTCTGGGATTCTTATCTAGTATAAAAGATAGTGAGCGCTCTCTAAAAATGTCAGCAGCTAGAACACTATAGGCAACCACAATGCCTCAAAAATATATCAATATGACCTTAAAACAATGAAGTGCAGCGCTTAACCAGGTGAAAAAGTCAATAAATAGGTAACCACAGTGAGTGCTTAACCAAGTAAAAAAGTCAATAAATAGGTATCCGCAGTAAATCACTGCATAGATGCGAATTCCCACGGCCTCCACTCTGTCAAATAGTAGAAATGCGCACTCACCGGAAACGCATAGGTTATGCGCATGTGTGATTATGCATCACAGGCAATGGGAGCATCAGAGGTTAGGCAGCCAGGCATCTCCCTCATGGTGGGTCATCACAGACTCTTTGAATAGGTCCAGGGGTCCCCTTAAGGTCAGCCAGGTGTTGTAAAAGAATCTCCTCTCAGGATGGCAAAAGTGTTTTCTCTGTGGGAATGATAACTCCAATAGGAGCCCCAGAAAACAGATGCCAGAGATAGTGTAGTATGTCCAAAAATCAGTGCTTTATTGATATAAGTAACAGGGCAGTAACAGGGCAGTATGCATATATATAATAATGTAATAACACAAATATGCAGCAGTACTGACCCTTAGTAGTGATGGCCGCCGGGCCTCCTCGTGGCTCCGGCGGTGGAATGACGTCACGCTCTACACAGCTCCTCCTTAGGCCTTTCGTGCTATAGGCACATCATCAGAGGGGAGGCTGCACAGGAGCGTGACCGACGTCAGTGCTAAAAATAGGAAAATTGGCACATGCGCAGTTAGCCGCGGCCATTTTCCCGGAGAAAGCGTGTACTGCGCATGCGCCAGCACGGCAGCGCCATTTTGCCGTGGATCCGCGATCATACATAAAACGAGGAGGAGACACAGAAGTCTCATGACACAGAATCCCAGTGCCGTTTGCTGACTATGCCACAGACCCCAGGGACTTTATGTCAAACGCTATTTCCCTCAATACAGTGACAGTGCAACTAAAGTAGCAATACCTGTGCGCATAATGTATGGGGTACAAAGATCCCCCTCAGTGACTGGCATATGATTGCAATAACGGACCACGGCAAGATGAAGAATGACAAATCACAAGATAAAATCATGCAAAGGCTTGAATAAAAACAATGGAAATAAAAATAAGGCATTAGATCTAGGCAGTAAATAACATACTTAATATTATACTACCTGATCATACCAGAGTGAATGTAATAATTATATACATCCCAAATATACATGATAAATATGTACAAAGCAAAAAGGGGATAAAAAGAGGTAAAAAGACCCTAAAACTAGCCCATACAAGGCCGTCATGATCATTCCTCCACCCGTCTTCTATAATGGGAAGTCAAACGGGGCAGAAGGAAAAATATTATTAATACTAGGACCAATAAATATTAATCAGTCAGGATGGATGAATGTCCGAATAAAATTCAAAAATAATCAAACACATGGAGAAGAAGCACGCTAAGGGTGCAACTTAATGCAGGGAATAAAATTACTCAGCAATATATGTCAGATGTATATGTTTTTATGCTTCATGCAAGTCAACAATTCTTGATCGTAGGTCTTCTGGGAGCTCTTTTCTGCGAGGCATGGTTCACATCAGACAGTGCTTCTTGAAACCAGTAAACCCCAAAACAGGTGTGTGTTTTTTAAGGGCAGGACAGCTGTCAGCAACACATCCAATATCATCACACTGATTGGAGTCAAGGTTGGCTCACTCCTGGCTCCAATTAGCTTTGGGAGAAGTCATTAAGCTAGGGCAGGGGTGGGCAAACTTTTTGACTTGAGGGCCGCAATGGTTTCATATATTGGACCCGGGGGCCGGACCAAGAGTAGATGAATGATGTGTATGTGTCATCCATAGTAAGTATAGTAATATTCCCCCATAGTAAGCATAGTAATTCATCCCCCATAGTAATTCATCCCCCATATAGTAATTCATCCCCCATAGTTATTCATCCCCCATATAGTAATTCATCGCCTATAGTAATTCATCCCCCATATAGTAATTCATCCCCCATATAGTAATTCATCCCCCATATAGTAATTCATCCCCCTATAGTAATTCATTCCCCATATTAATTCATCCCCCATATTCATCCCTCATAGAGTATTTCATCCCCCACAGTACTATTCCCCCCAAGTAGTAAGCCAAGTCCCCCCTGTGTCAATTCACTTACCTTTGCTCCGCGCGTTCCTCTCGCCGTGTTCCCGCGCCGTTCCGGTCTTCAGGGCGGACTGTGAGAGGAGCCTAGCTCCCCTCACATTCGTCACGCTGCCCCGCCTACACACATCCTGACAGCCAATGTATCACGCTCCGCGGGCGGGCCAGATTAAAAGGTCCGCCGGGCCGTATACGGGGTAGTTTGCCCATTGCTGAGCTAGGGCCTCACATACTTTTTCCTCCCTGCACTGTGAATGTTTACATGTTATGTGCAATTAAACCATGGCAACATCTAATGTTTGTGTAGTATTATGTTCAGCAGACTGTGTTCTTCTATTGTTGTTACTTAGATGACGTTCAGAGCACATTTTATGCCCAATTCTTGCAAAACTCCACGTAATCCCAAGGGGTTCACATACTTTTTCTTGCAACTGTATATGTTGCCTTCATAATTCCTAACCAATAAACTGTTTTGTAATATACAGCAGTATTTTTTTTATGAGTTTGGTATATTCTGTTCATCAGTGATGTCTCTATCTTTTATTTTGTAGGGGTTGGGAAGTCATGTCTTCTTCTTCAGTTTACAGATAAGCGATTTCAGCCTGTTCACGATCTCACCATAGGTAAATGCTTTCAAGAGATTTTTGTAATGTGCTATTTAAATTTTTGCTTTTGTCTTCTCTTCTATATATGTAATGTAATGTAATACTCTTCAAAATGTTTTATTGTACTGCAGCTATGCATATTTACTTGTTTGAATGTTACCCTATGTAATCATATTTAGAACCTGTTGTTTGAAATGCTCCAGGTAGAACTGTATAAATACTAAACCATATACAAGCATTTAAATATGTTTCTAAACATATGGAATCAATTAATAATTAAGCAAAATAACATAATTAAATCTCAGTCTATTCAAAGGCAAGGACGTGGTTAACGAAACAGGTACATTATCTGACATCACTCCAAGAGTATCCTAGTATACACCAATTATAAAAAGTAACAATATAAGAAGCTTGTGATAATATTGTATCTTTTTATAATCGGTGTATACTGGGATACTCTTGGAGTGATGTCAGATAGTGTACCTGTTTTGTTAACCACTTCCTTGCCTTTTGAATAGACTGAGATTTTATGAAATTGTTATTTTACCTAATTGTTAATTAATTGTTTAAATGATTCCAAATGTTAGAAACATATGATTTAGTACTTGGATGTATTCTTATCTGAGCAAGGGCATGATCATAATAGGCTGAAACTGTCATATAATTTTTTCCTGTAACAATAAATTTTATGTGCAGCAATCCTACTTGAAGTTTTTCTTGATATGGCCTGATTTGCTTTGCACAGTGAGTGTATGTGTACTTTACTCTAATCAGTTCTAAAAAAAACTTCTCCTTTTCCCTTCAACTCTTATTTTTGTTTTTATTTGTTTTGTTCATTCAGTTTGTGTGTCACATAAAAAAACCCCCACAAAATTACAGTACTACAGCCCCCTCAATACTTACCTGAGCCCCATTGAGGTCCAGCGATGTGCACAACAGCCTTGGCTGTCCTGGGGTTTCTGCCTTCTCATTGGCGGAGACAGCAAGTGGGAAGCCATTGGCTCTCACTGCTGTCAATCACAGCCAGTCAGCCCATAAGGCGAGAGGGGGGCAGGGCCAGCAGCAACAGGTGCCCCCTTAGCAAGCTGCTTGCGGTGCGGGCACCCAACAGAAAAGGAGGAGCCAGGAGAGTCTGGGAGGAGCCCAAGAAGAGGAGGATCCAGGCTGCTCTGTTCAAAACCACTGCACACAGCAGGTAAGTATAGATATGTTTATTGCCAAAAAAAAAAATTTACTTTTAGTATCACTTTAAGCTTTTGTTTAACCACAGTGGTCAAAAAAGATAGAGGTCCTTTCTTTTAATTTCATTTACTTTTTTATCCAAGGATTGCATTAAAAACATTCTTGGATAACAATACTATAAATATCATGAATAGAAATCCTTGTTTCTCCTTTAAAAAAAAAAAAAAAAAAATATGTGAGCGTGCATGCGTGTAATATATATATATATATATACACACACACAATCACTTGGTTATGTTAAATAATGACAAAGTTATTGCTGAATAAACAAGTTTATAGCAGAGATCCAAAAATTGTTCTGGTCCATTTTGGATGTACAGGTGAGAGCTAAAGTAGTTAAAGTACATTAACTATTCCATATGACCAACAAAACAAGTCCCAAATCCAGTTACTATGTGATGGACAAACCTCATAATGTAAACAAAAAACTCCCTTTATTCCCTTAGCCTTTGCTGGCTGAGCCAAATCCTCCTTTGTGTCTCACATTCTCCCCCTCCTAGACACTGCAGGTCACAGTGGGAGCGTTTCAACATCAGATGTAGTGCTGACAATCCAGAAAACAGCAGGACGTTGTGTGGCCAGATTGTGATTGACAGGCTACAGGCTTGAGAATCCTCAGTGACTTTGCTGATAGTAAGCAGGTACAGACCACCTGAGGAGGACCGTGCCGCTTTGAATAAGGCTGGTCATACATTATACAATTTTCTTGAGAATTTTTTGCTTAGATTTACCAAAAACCATATAATATGAGGTCAAATCTAAACACTTTCAGTTGTATCTAATTAGGCAAGCCCTTGCACTACATAGTTGAAGGTAAATCTAAATGAAATTTGACAGAAAATTGTAAAGTGTATGGCCAGCCTTAGGAAACAGTGCAGCATCGTTGCCACATCATCACAGAAAGCAGCACTAGGTGGACTTCGCTGGTAGGATTAACAGGTATTTGTAGGACAGAAGATAGGAGGAAAGAAGCTAGAACTGTAAGTGCAGATGTACTTATAATTAGATGCTGCTGCACTTTTTATGAGAAGCTCTTCTTTAAATCAAAGGATTTTGTTCTTATATTTCACTATTATATTAAATAAAATAACAGGATGAATGAAATACATACTAATGAATAAATAGTAGATATTATTTAAATAATTAGGTTTTTGTATTATTTTATACTGGGTGCCCAAACCATTGATTTGAAATCAAGCCAAGTTAAACAGTAATGGGTAAATAGATCTATAAAACTAGCTGGGCAGATTTCCTTGTGCTCTTGTGTTTAAGCCCTGGTTCACACTGATGCGGTGTGGAATTCGCAGCGTTTTCAGTGTGAATTCTGCACCGCATCAGAATCCCCATTAACACCCCGAAAGCGGTCCGCAAAACATGGTGCGATGTGCAGAAGCGGAATGCATAGGTGTGAATACCCATGCGATCCGATTCTAGTGCGGACCCAAAAAAAGGGTCCTGCATGTTTTTGGTGCGGGTGCCATGTGAATAGAACCGTACAAAATGTATGGCTCCAATCGCACCCAGGGGCGGACTGAAAACTCATGCGGCCCCCCCAGGCAATAGGGGATCGTGGGGCCCCTGTGTCCTTGCCCAAACTCAAAAAACCCTATGAAAAAGGTACCAGGGGCATCTCATGGGGCCCCCTGCTGACCCCAGGCCCTCGGGCGGTGCTCGAGTTTCCAAATGGTAAGTCTGCCCCTGATCGCACCGCATACAAATCGCATGTGATTTGCACAGGAATGCGGAGCAGTTCCTGTACAAATCACTGCACCGCATATATGTGAACCCAAGTTAAATCTACAGAATGTGTCCAAGGTGTGAGTTCTGAGGGCAGGATCTGTGGACTGTTGGTCTACACTTCAGAAATTAATGTTTACTGCACAGTTCGTGTCTCATATTTATTTAATACGGATTGCAAAAGGTAATATTCAAATGTGACTTTGAGTTGTATTTAGACTATGCAGTCCACACTATTAATTATAAATGAGTTTGATATTTTTTGCTGGCTTGCTGCATGTGCAGTGACCCAAGGATATCGCATTGCAGTCTAAGCTGCCCTTTATTTTGTTTCTCTGTTTTTTGCATGTGAGAAATTTGTAATACAGGGGCTTGCTGTGCTCATTTGTTTATAAGTAGATCCAAAAAGTGCTACAAAATCTAGAAGCTAGTAACAATGTAACTTAAAACTGAACTGATCAGTTCTCTATTCTCCTTATAGCAGCCATATATATGACATCAGCAATATATACAGATCTTCTAACATAGACACAACGGCCATATATACAGTTATACAGTTCTTAACCAGTTGCCTCTTTACAGCTCTTTTAACCACAAATATTAACCACCCTATAATAGGTGATTTTGTACTTCCTGTTGGGAGGAGGGCAGAGAAATAAAATCCAGCACATTGCCTAGTAAAATCACCACACCTTGTACACAAAAACACTGGTTAGGCAGACGGTTAACCCTTTGATCGCCCTAGATGCCAGTGTCATTAATACAGCAACAGATTATAATAATAAAAATAATAAAACAAAATAATAGTGT